GTTCTATTAGTTCTACAGCTTCAGTTTCTGAACTTTCACGCTTAGTAACACATACAGCTGTTCCCTCACCACAGTGCAACAGTGAAAAGAGACCCCTTTCAAACAGTGTTGCGTTCCGAATGGTGTTTAAGTGGCATACACCGGTATTGCGGTATTTTAAAAATTCATATCATAACAAAAATAAACACCGGTATTCGGTATGAACCGGTATACCGCCCAGCACTACGGTGGAGTAACGGTGAGGTCACGGTGAGGTAACTGAAATCACAGTGAGGTCACAGACACACCTCTTTGGTTCTGCGGCAGCGCTAGAGCCGTACGCGTTTGTCGTGTGTTGGTTCTGGGCGGCAGCAGGTGGAGGAGGGCTGCTGAACAGGAAGCCACTGATGAACCTCCAGACGGCCAGCAGCGGGTACAGCAGCGACCCCAGCATGGCCCAGACGCCGCCGCCCGCAGATGAGTGCACCACAGTGTTGGACGGGCGGCTGGACTGCTGCAGGGACCAATCACAGGAGAGCATTCATGTGACTAAAACTAAACAACCCTAGACACTCTTTTGCATTACATGCTTCTGAAATGTTATATTCAAATATGCAAATGAGGCATTAACTACTTGAATATGCACTAATTTGTCATACATTAAAGTCAGGTTCATGATTCTTGTTTGATTTTGTTGACAAAGGTTTTTACAGAGGAGATTTTGGATTTCTCTATTTTTCACTCCATATATCACTAGTGTCTTGCTTAAAACCCAAATGTTAAAGAAAACATTACTAGTTATTGTTTGCATGTTGACCGTGTGAACTGGTGCGTGTGTGTGTGTGTGTGTGTGTATGAGTGAGTTTGCAAGTGTGTGTGTGTGTGTGTGTGTGTGTGTGTGTGTGTGTCTCTCACAGGAAGCAGCACGATGGAGGCGCTGGGGGTCAGTTCCAGCTCCAGCAGTGATTTCTGCAGATCTTCAGCTGTGAACTCTCTCCGGGGGAACATAGTGGCCAGAGAGAACTGACCGTATCGGTTCCCCACCTCCTGCATGAAGACACAGACTCATGAGCGTCACATGCGTGTGTAGAGCTTCTGACACGACCATTATAAAGTTATTAATAAAGTCATATCGCGGTCGCTGACCTGAGCGGCGAACTGCCGGGCCTCCTGCAGACGCGTCTGTGACGGGAACTGGTTCGTGAAGGACGAGCCGTCAGGCAGACGGAACTGAATCCTGGCAAACGCACTGCGACCAGCAGAGGAAAACATCGTCAAGACTAACGATCATCAGTGCAGAAACCTGCTCATCAGCATTCAATCAAACGCTTAAGAACATAGGGTCAGTCCCACAAAACCACAATCAGCTCTGTTCTGTTATTCTGTTCTGTTGTGCCTAAAGAAAATAAAGCCTTACTGTAAAGTGCATAATGCTAGCATTTGTTGTACTGAATTTAATTCATGCAGATTTATTTTAAGCCATAGAGTCCAGAAATACTTATCAGGAAAGCCTATTAGGGAAGTTCTAATTGTACAGCCCTTTTCATACGTGAGATAAAATAGAAGCATGAAACAAACACTGGCAATATGATTTCACACAATAACTATGTAAATCATTTAACTTTAACTCGCCTTTTAAAAAATTAACGCTTGAAGCCTCTTTCACTTCAATTGCAAGACAATTCTTTACTTAAGATTTAGTGTATAGTGGCCAAAGAGCAGCGCTAGACTGCGTCGCAGCACTATTTGTTGCTACAGTGATGAGAACAGCACAGTCCCGCAGGATCACATCACCTCCTCTCTCGCTGCGCAGCGTCTCTCCGCGCCTCCTGTTCTGTGGCTCTGGCCTGCAGCGCTGCGATCCGAGCCGTCTCTGCGTCCAGCTGACTTTGAGCGTAACGTGCCGCTCTGTCTGCACGGTCCTGCAGACGAAACCGTCTCATCATCCAGATCCAGAAACACACCAGGAGCCAGGGGCATAAACTCAGCCATCATGTTAAGACTGTCTTAAGAACTAGTTTGACCACCTAGCAGCTGCCAAGGGGTAACCAGTCTTACTTTTCCCATACAAATAAAACCAATCTACCTTTTCATAACTGAATTTAAAAAGTTACTTTTTAAGACTAGTCTAAATAGTTTATGCAACCGGCCCCAGATTTCCTGAAGAGGGCAAATTAGCGTTAGAGTGCAGTTCTGTAAAAGCGCTGATGGGGGGGGGGAGGCACAAATAATGGCACAAACACCAGTAATCTGATGAGCGCAAACGTTAGTAAAACGCGTTGCATGATTCATTTTAATATTCTCCTCCCATAAATTATGCGTCTGAAACTCCTACAAATGCATATTCAATAAGATCAGGCGCAAAAATAACTGTCCACGCCTTTTCCGCACCAATTCTTCACGGCGCGTCTTTAGTAAATCTGGCCCTAGATCTTCTGCTGTAATCATGAACATGTTTAGCAGCTAGGGACTGTTTCTCTGAGAGCACTTGAGCTCGTGACGTACAGCGAAGCGCACTGATGCTCTAAAAAAAAACTACATTTTGTACTAAAATATTATCAATATTCGAATTACATTTGATTTTAAAAGCCATAATTTCAGTTAGGGGAGAAAAACGCTATTGGCTTCTCTCGAGGCCACAAGAGGGTGCATTGAGCAAAATATTACTAATGCACGTTTATTCAAAGCAATAAAGTAACACGGCTATCTTTGAAAAAAGTGCATAATGTTTAAAATAATGTTTATAAACCATATATAATTAAGTTGCTTAAACAATTAGAAACAAATCCGCATCATGCATGTATGTATAGTTCAATACAAAGGACCGTAAACCAATCACAAAGAGTACTTTTTCTATTTAAAAACTGAGATGCAGTGAGATGGGGGAAAAATGGCATAAAGCCTCGAGACATGATTTTTAAAAGTTGAACTTGCGTTAATTTTACATGGCTTTCTAAACATGCGGCTCTCTTGTGCGACACGTGAGTGCAAAGGTGATAGATGTCCCTCTAGAAAATGTGATAAATCTGCGTTCTGTGTGAATGGCTTGTTTCAGTTTTGCCGTAAACAAGATCTTCTCCGCATTGATGTTCTCTTTTTCTGCAATATTTTGAATGAACAACGTAGCAGCGCCGCATCCAGTGGGTTCAACTGAATAGGCTAAAAAAAAGCATTAAAATGCAGTGACACCTACATCATCATCGCATGCCTGACGCACACCTAAAATTAGAATGCATTCGAATGTGGATATTTATTTAAAATTCGACGAATATTGGAAATTGTAATTAGTTTTGTCAGTGTGCTGATACCAGAGCGATCTGCTGCTTGACCCGCTCTCTAGCCGCTCGCTCCTCGGCCTTCTCTCGACTCCTCTCCTCCAGCAGACGCTTGGTCTTGTCAGTGAGAGAGTGAGTGTGCGTGAGAGAGTGAATGTGAGTGTGTGCGCGTGAGAGTGAGTGTGTGAGAGAGTGTGTGAGTGCGTGAGAGTGAGTGAGTGTTCGTGCGTGAGTGAGTGAGTGAGTGTTCGTGCGTGAGTGTGTGTGTGTGTGTGTGGGAGAGGGAGTGAGTGAGTGAGTGTGTGTGTGTGTGGGGGAGAGTGAGTGAGTGCGAG